TCCCTACCTTGGTGGCCTGAGGTCTCGTGGGCCCACCGGGCTATGAACAGTTCACCTTTGCGCTGTCAGTCCAAGTCCACCTGAGCCACTCTAATCTGAGCAGCTTGGTCTGCCTGCTGGTTGTGTCGATGCTCATCAGTGGCCCGACTCTTGGGTATATGGGCATCCACATGGCACACCTTCACAACGACTTTCTCCACACGGGCTGCAATGTCCTACAATACTTCAGCAGCCCAGACGGTTTTACCCTTACATTGCCAGTTGTTCTGCTTCCATTGCTGCAGTCATTTCCACAGGGTATTCGCTACTGCCCACGAGTTGGTGTAGAGGTAGAGCCTCGGCCACTTTTCCCGCTCACCAATGTCTAAAGCAAGCTGAACAGCTTTCACCTCTGCAAACTGGCTCGATTCACCCTGTCCCTCAGCAGCTTCAGTGACCCGTCGTGTGGGACTCCATACAGCAGCCTTCCACTGTCGATGTTTTCCCACAATACGACAAGACCCATCAGTGAACAGGGCATATCGCTTCTCCTCATCCGGCAGCTCGTTATATGGTGGGGCCTCCTTAGCACGTGTCACCTCCTGCTTTGGTGACATCCCGGAATCTTTGCTTTCTGGCCAGTTCGTAATCACCTCTAGTATCCCTGGGCAGCTGGGGTTCCCTATTCGAGCCCGTTGTGTTATCAACGCAACCCATTTACTCCACGTGGCATCTGTTGCATGATGCGTGGAGGAGGCTTTTCCTTTGAACATCCACCCCAGCACCGGCAGTCGGGGTGCCAGGAGGAGCTGCATTTCAGTGCCGACCACTTCTGAGGCAGCCCGAACTCCTTCGTACGCTGCCAGTATCTCCTTCTCAGTTGGTGTGTAATTAGCTTCAGAGCCTTTGTATCCCCGGCTCCAAAAGCCTAGAGGTCGGCCTCGGGTCTCCCCAGGTGCTCTCTGCCAAAGGCTCCAGGTAGGGCCATTCTCCCCGGCTGCGGTGTAGAGCATGTTCTTAACCTCCTGCCCTTCCCGGATTGGCCCGAGAGCTACTGCTTGGGCAATCTCTCGTTTAATCTGTTCAAAGGATTGTTGTTGCTCAGGGCCCCATTCAAAATCGTTCTTCTTACGGGTTACGTGGTAGAGAGGGCTCACAATCAGGCTGTATTTGGGATGTGCATCCTCCAGAACCCCACGGCGCCCAGGAAAGACTGAGTGTCCTTTTTAGAGGTTGGTGGGGCCATGGCTGTTATCTTGTTTATCACCTCCATTGGGATGTGGCGACGCCCATCTTGCCATTTTATCCCTAGGAATTGAATTTCCCTTGCAGGTCCCTTAACTTTCGTTTGCTTAATGGCAAAGCCGGCCTTCAGGAGGATTTCAATGATTCGCTTCCCTTTCCAAAGACTTCCTCAGCTGTGTCCCCCCCATACAATGATGTCATCAATATACTGCAGGTGTTCTGGAGCCCCGCCTTTCTCCAGTGCAGTATGGACCAGTCCATGGCAAACGGTGGAGCTGTGGTTCCACCCCTGGGACAATCGATAACAGGTGTACTGGATGCCTCCCCAAGTGAACGCAAACTGTGGCCTGCATTCTGGCGCTATCGGAATGGAGAAGAACGCGTTAGCAATGTCAATCGTGGCGTACCACTTGGCTGCCTTCGACTCCAGTTCATACTGGAGCTCTAGCATGTCCGGCACTGCAGCACTCATTGCTGGCGTAACTTCATTCATGCCACGGTAGTCCACAGTCAGCCTCCATTCACCATTAGGCTTCCTCACTGGCCATATAGGACTGTTGAAGGGGGAGTGAGTTTTGCTGATCACCTTCTGGCTCTCTAGTTGACGGATCAGCTGATGGATGGGGACCAGGGAATCTCGGTTAGTGCGGTACTGCTGCCGGTGCACCGTCCTGGTAGCAATCGGCACTCGCTGCTCCTCAGCCTTAAGCTGCCCCACCACTGAGGGATCCTCTGAAAGGCCAGGTAGGGTGGACAACTGTTCAACCTCCTCCAGGGCAGCTACACCAAAAGCCCACCGGTACCCTTTTGGGTCTTTGAAGTGCCCTCTCCTGAGATAGTCTATGCCCAGGATGCACGGGGCATCTGGGCCAGTCACAATGGGGTGCTTATGCCAGTCCTTCCCAGTCAGGCTCACTTCAGCTTCCAGTAGGGTCAGCTGTTGGGATCCCCCTGTCACTCCGAAGATGCAGATGGATTCAACCCCACTGTAGATCGATGGCATCAGGGTGCACTGTGCGCCAGTGTCCACCAAAGCCTTATACTCTTGTGGGTCTGATGTGCCAGGCCATCGGATCCACACTGTCCAGTAAATCCGATTGTCTCTTTCCTCCACCTGGCTGGAGGCAGGGCCCCTCTAATCCTGCTCATCATCACTCACTTCTTGAAAGAACGATTTACTGGTCCCCTCAAGAGGGTCAGACATAATGTTCACCATTCTATTCTGCCTGGGAGATTTCTGACCTGACACTGGAGCTGCGCTCCTCTTGAGGGACTCCCCTTTCCTGGTGGTCCTCCCTTTCAGCTGCTCTACTCGTGCAGCCAGGGCGGCAGTGGGCTGTCCATCCCACTTCCTCATGTTCTCTCCATGGTCACGGAGGAAAAACCACAGGGTGCCTTGTGGTGTGTACCTTCTGCTGCCTTTCTCTTGGGTGGGGAAACGTTTACTTATAATGGCTGAGACATTAGCCCATGCAGGTGGAACATAGGACATGTTCTCTTCCATTTTCCTGACACTCTTAGACAGTTCCTCCACAGCTGAGACCAGGGAATGTTGAAAAGAAGGGAGATTTCCCTCATATTGCCGGAGCTTGCCAACCACTCCATCCACTGTTAGAGTGTGGGTGTCTGTCCACCAGGACACTATTGCCAATGCTTTCGAGTGTGCTTCTGGTGCGCTCTTCAGGAACCTTCGCCACATCAGGTGTGTGCAAGGGGCCTGATCTGGGTCCATGGGTGACTGCTCATCATTCAGATCACCATAGATCATCTCAAACACAGCCAGTTCCCTGAGGTTTTGGATGCCTTTCTCAATGCTGGTCCATTTGCTCAGCTGACACAGGATATCATCCTTGTAGGGGTACCTCTCCCTTACACTGAACAGGAGTTGCTTCCAAAGGCTGAGGGTTTGAGCCTGTTTTCCTATTTCCCTATCAATGCCAGCATCCTTGGCCAAAGATCGCAGCTGCTTGGCCTCTCTCCCCTCCATCTCAAAAGCACTGGCTCCATTGTCCCAGCATCAGAGCAACCAGGTGCAAATCTGCTCACCTCGCAGTTGGCCAAAATCTCTCCGCATATCTCGCAGCTCAGTCGGGGACAGAGATCGGACAATCACGTCTGGTCCTTCCTCCTGTTCCCCTGATGGGCCTGGCTCATCCTCATCCCTCACTCTGCGAACAGACTTTCTGGTATATTTGGTTTTCTGAATCGGGGCGACTGACACTGGCTCTGCCTGGCTCTCTGGCTCAGTCTCTGTGCTGGTGCAGGCGACTGAGACTGGCTCTGCCTGTGCCCCCGGTTCAGATATTGTTTGTGTGGCCTTTTCTTCCCTTTGAGGGCAGCGGGTGGTATTGCAGAGGGCACGGTATGCATGGGCAAGTCCCCAACACATTGCAGTGATTTGTGTCTCCTGGGTTTTGCCAGTTTGGTAACACACCCTTTCTAAGCACTCCATCAGCTTCTCAGGACTTTGCATTTGCTCAGGAGTGAAATTCCAAAGCACTGGGGGTGCCCACCGACTCAGGCCTTTGCCCATCTTTTCCCACACCCCTTGCCACTCACTATTAATTGGCCTCGGGGCAGGTTTCCGGGCACTGCTATTGTCAGAGAAATGCTGCATGGCCAAAACCGAAATCAGGCAGACGTTCAGAAGGCATAGTGCCACAATCACGCTGGCTTGCAGGCTCCAGGGGGAGCTAAACCTCCCCAAAGCCGAGAGGATCCCTTCCCCTGGCTCACCCACAGAGGGGGTGACCCCCCTAACAAAAGCCCAAAGGGCAAACAGGTACCGGCCCGCCCCCCCCACAGCGATACAAAGGCAGCATACGCGTTCAATAGCCCGTACAACAACATAAGAACCTTTACACATTTTCCACCCATAACAAACACCACCCCAGGGATCACACACTGGATATAAGGAGTAATCCAGCCGCACCACCTAAACATGTGGGCCAGCATCACAAATATTTTCTTATCAAACAAATACAAAAAAAAGATTACACCCAACAGATTGCTCTATCACACTCTGGTCAGGGTCTGGCCCTTTTTATTCTTGTAGCTTAGCCCCACGTTGGGTGCCAATTAATGCTGTGCAGGTTTAAGCCCTGCCAGAATCGGAGAGCACGTTGCCGTTGCCCCTCCCCAACCCGCGCCGGTCAGGCTGGAAGTTAGACACAGACCCCGGCTAAAATAACAAGAAATTTAATACACCAGAGTGATAGAACAATCTGAATAACAACAGTATCAATGGTAACAACAATAAACAGTAATAACAGTGAACAAGACAAATGATATACAGAGAAATACCGCTAGCTGGTCTATGGAAAGCAAAATTCCCTCCCGAACCGGCCAAGGAGCAAGGAAAAGGTTCCGCCCCTGGACCTGACGTCAGCATGGTATGAATAACCCGGCTGGAGATCCCTTCCCCCTCTCTCTCTGCTTGGGAAAACCTTACTCTATTCTGGCTGAACCAGGACAACAGCATACCAACATTATACTGTTATGAATTACAGTGCAGCAACAAGCAGAAATCTCCTCACACAATTTCTGTCAGAAACCTTTCTACCACCTCAGAACACTCAGCTTCTTTCAGTTTGACCAGTGCCAGCAGGTAACGTATCACTACTTCCCTTGTTTGAAACAAATACCCAAGCTTTAATTCTAGAATTTTTTAGAAACCACAATAGCACCACACTGCAGTCAGGGTTTAGTCACATTAGTTTACTATAAACAGATATTTGTTTGAACTTTAAGCATTCAAAAACAAAATGAAAACTCACCTCATTTCCACCAACAGCTTTGGTTAAAATTACTGCAGAAGACACAGGAGGTGGCATGCAGCCTACTGTCTGCAAGCTGAAAATGACAAAAAGAAATGTTACATTCCTCACATGATGCAAACACTATGCAACCTAAAACCTTAAAATACCAAATAGCTGAGTAAAAACTATGATCTTACCACCTGCACAACCCAATTAGTTTGTGTTACAATTACAGCCCTGCAGCAGCTGGCAGGATTTCCATGTCATCTCTTACCAACCATAGGGAAGAATCACGCCACCATTTAAAAACCCAAACACTTAACCTCTCTGGGACTCCATTTCCCCATCTGTAGCACTGTATCTACCATCCACAAAGATATCTACATGTCTATCACAAAGATAACTGCATCATGTGTTCTGATGTAGTAAAGTTTGTAGTGTGTTTTGAGATACCTGTATCTATTTGGAAAAAAAGAAAATAAGGATGTAAACTCCTATTTTCTTGAAAAAGCTGCTCAGTGATAGAAACATTTACTGCTAAGTAGAAGAGTAAGAAGAATCATGCTCACTATTTCAGGTTTCCACTACACTTTGTTTTCCATCAACCCTTACCTAAAAAAACCCCAACAAAACAAAGAACCACAATAATTAATCTTTTTGTTTTGTGAACATTAAAAGGCCATCAAATATTTCATTTTTATTCATGTTTTTGCTTCTTGGTAAAATCACCTATCTTCCATTAATCAAAGCATCAAAAGCTTTCTCCTGCATTTTAAAAGTCTAAAATACACTGTTATCTGTCATTTTTTCCATTGTTTGTGCAGTAAAATTATCAATGTATATAGTAAAATGCTGTTGCAAAGTAAGAAAAAAAGTGGTGAACTTTCCTTTGTTTTCAACGACAGTCCACAAAAACTGGTTACTACAAAAATTAGTTGTATCAAATGTGTATTTAGAAACAAGAACATACCACAATAGATTACAATTAAATCTAGGGCTAAGTAAAATAGGGTTTCTGAAGAAGAACTATACTGATTTAGAAAGAACAGTAAGGCGTGGAATAAGTCTGCAAAACCCCCAAAAGCATGGAATCTACATGTTTTCAAGTATGGAGTTTGAGACAGTGCTCCAGTTCAGAACAATTAAATACTAGTGGTGAACTACTTTGCACTTGTAATTGTATTAGTCCATCCCCAAGAAACGCAATGTCAAAGCACTGTAGCAAACAGAAGTATTAAATCCAAGCAATAGGGAGCATATTACAGTGCAACTGATATGCTGCAGATATACAAAAAAGCTTAAACAGAAGAAACAGGTAAATGACAATGACAGTATTCCGTTTGTCAGCTACAGACACTGTGGAAAAGGAAATAGGCAAGCAATGTAAGCATTATATAAATCCAATCACAAAGTGCCAAGCACCACCTTAGAAGTATATAGTACCTTTAGCTTACAGTGAAATAAGCTATGGAAGCAGAGAGTTGTCAGCACATAGCAGGATAAGCTGATATTGAAAAGAAAAGAAATACAGGAAAAAGAAATGGTGTGGAAAGTTTAAAAATAGGTATGAAAATACACAGCAGACAAAACACATGGCGAGTCTGATGTCCATCCCCTACATCAGCTGGGATACTGTTATCTCTCTTCTATGTGGTCTCTTGGCAGCCAGCTCCTTGAACTTCTCACCTGCACTAATAAGGGGTGGATTAAGTTCAACATTATCCAGAAAGGTATGAAATGTGTGTCAGGACATTCATCTCAGCAGGCAGGGATTTTCCACACTATAAGGGAAAGGTTTAATAATACAATATCTGTAAACCCTCTCAAATTTAAAATAATACATTTGGAATTAAAAAAAATAAGAATCACTATCAATCTATGATTTTAAATATTCTTCATATGAAAATACTAATCTACAAAAAAACTGGTACATACCAAATGGAAATACTTTCAATAACTGCATCCGTGAACTTTTTTCTTGCTTTGTATCAGTGACACACAACACTACCAATATACAAACAAACTGTTCTAATGGCCAACAGATTACTCCAGATACCAACCAACAAGCTCAAACGTTCTACTGGTTCAGGCCATGCTATAAGCACTAACATCAGGGGTCCAAACACTTGCTGAAGAGGGATAAATAATACCTGTTCTGTTGATACATTACAGACAACTGAGTCGCAGGGTCTGAAGCCCCATATTTTAGATATGGAACTCCCAAAGTCATATCTGGTACCAGGTCTTTGCATCTCGTGCCTTATCACCTGTGCTGTAAATGCTATATGCCAAGAGTGGCAGAAGAGGTGAAATCTGTGTAACCATTAATAACCTGCTACATGCTCCTCTTCAAAGGACTGCGAAACCTAGTCAGCTAACAAAAAAATAACTTAAAAGATGCTTAGGATGATGTCAGTTTCTCCTCTATTTTATATATTTCTAAATAACTGCAGAGCAACAAATCTCCTAATATCACCCCAGACAGAGAGGAAAAAAAAAAAAACCACAACACTGGAAACAAAGACGAAAAGCTGGTAGCATCTGAATCTGCCTCTCAAGTAACATTTACAGCAAAACAGACCATTATAGAGGATGGGAAAAACTACCATTTATTCTGAAGCAGGACAGGAAATTAACTGTGGGTATATATACCTTTAAGTATAACCTTGTGTAGAGAGTAGGGGAGAACTATAGTCTGCAGGGGAGCTGCCCTGCCAAAGGGTGCTGCATGCCCTGGGGAGCACCTGCCTATTTCTCCAGGCCTGTGTGAGGACTATCAACTAGCTCCCAGGACAAGCCGTGCTCAACATGTGTGATGAGGCGAAAGAGTAACTTTGCCATAGCCTGTCTTGTTGCCCCACTGTTTTCATTAGGGTACTTCAGCTTTATTTCTAGGGAATAAAATCTACAGCTGTGGGGCATTCAGATGAACTGGTTACACAGAGCAGCCAAGGCACAGGCAGTTCTTCACATCGGCTCCTCACTCTCCTTTCAGGTACCCCTATAGGGACATGCAAGCTCCTACTTTAAAATGTGTTATCCAAGAATTAGCACAGAGCTCAGTATCTTCTGCACCTGCACAGCACTGAAGGTACAGCTCCCATCAGGCTCCCTTGCAGGGGATGCCTTCAGAGCCACACCATGGCTGCTGCTCCGAGCATGTCCTCAACAGCAGTACTTACCAAGAAAGTACTCTTTGAAAAAACAAATCAAAACAAAACCCAAACAAACAAAAAGAAAAACCCCACTTTCATTAACTCCTCCATCTGACCATTCCTTGAACGAAGTCTCAATACAACGGAGCTCTGAGGTGTGTCGAAGGCCCCACATGCAGACCAGACACTCTTCATAGGGAAGTCTGCTGCCTCCCTGGGTCAAGGACCTCACAGTAAAACTCCCCACTCTAGTGAGACCCAAGGACTACTACCCTCTCTTGTTTTCTCAGGTAGGTAGCAACAACATTACCAGGAGAAGTCCTAAAGCAATGAAGAGAGATTTCAGGTCCTTGCGGAAACCGATTAAGGGGTTGAGGGCAGAAATTGTGTTCTCCTCCATCCCTTCAGTTGGGGAGATGGATGAAGAAGAATACAGGAGAACTCAACAGATGAACTTGTGGCTCCAAGACTGGTGTTACTATCAGGGCTTTTGATTTTTCAATCATGGGTTGGTATACAGGATGCCAGACCTTTTGGCATTAGACTGGATGCACCTGTCCCGGAGGGTTCAGAAGAGGATCCTGGGGCAGGAGTTATTTGGGCTCACTGACAGAGCTTTAAACTAGATTTGAAGGGGAAAGGGGTCAAAACACCAGCCCATCTGAAGTGCATGTATATCAATACACACAGCATGGGTAACAAACAGAAGGAGCTTGAAGCCATGATGAAACAGGAAAATTATGATGCACAGAAACATGGTGGGATGTCTCCCATGACTGGAGTGTGCCAACTGATGGCTACAAGCTCTTTAGGAGGGATAGACAAGGCAGGAGAGGTGGTGGGGTGGCGCTGTATGTCAGGGACTGTTATGATTGCTTTGAGCACAAGTGTAGTGAAGACAGGGTGGAGTGTCTTCACATTAGAATCAGGGGGAAGGCCAACAGGGCAGATGTTGTAGTGGGAGCCTACTATAGGCCACCCACCCAGGACAGAAAGGTGGATGAAATATTCTGTAGGCATTTAGGTTAAATCTCACAATCGCTTGCCCTTGTTCTTGTGAGAGACTTTAACTTCCCAGACATCTGCTGAAAATACAACACAGCAGAGCAGAACCAGTCCTGAAGATTCCTGGAATGTGTGGGAGACAACTTCCTGACACAGCTGGTGAGTGAACCAACCAAAGAAAGTGCCCTGCTGGATATCCTCTTTGTGAACAGAGAAGGACTGGTGGATGATGTGGCGGTTGAAAGCCGACTAGGGCACAGCGATCATGAAATAATAGAGTTCTCTATTCTTAGGAAGGCCAGGAGAGGGGAGCAGAACTGACATCCTGGACTTCCAAAGGGCTGACTTTGTCTTGTTTGGGCACCTGCTTGACAGGATCCCTTGGGAGACGGTCCTGAAGGGTACAGGGGTCCAGGAAGGCTGGGCACTCTTTAAGAAGGAAGCGTTAATGGCTCAGGAGCAGGTGGTCCCCAGGTGCTGTAAGAGAAGCTGGTGACAGAGAAGACCACCTTGGCTAAACAGGGAGCTTTGGCTGCAACTCGGGCAGAAAAGGAGCTTTTGGAAGAAGGGGCTAGTCACCCACAGTGATTAAAGATGCTGTGAGGATGTGAAGGGTGGAAATCAGGAGGTCTAAAGCCCAGATGGAAATTAATCTGGCTTCAGCATCAAGGACAACAAGAAATGCTTCTGTAAGTATGTGACCAGCAAAAGAAAGACCAGAGCGAGCCTCCAACCGCTAGACACAGGAGGAAACATGGTAACAAGTGATGAGAAAAAGGCTGAGGTGCTTAATTCCTCCTTTGCCTCAGTCTTTAATAGCAAGACTAGGTGTACTGAGGGAATCCAGCCTCCTCAGCCAGAAGACAGAGACTGGCAGAATGACTCTCCTGCATTCCAGGAGGAGATAGTCAGTGACCTACTGCATCACATAGTCCACGGGACCAGATGGAATACACCCGAGGGTGCTGAAGGAGCTTGCTGGGGTGCTCATCAAGCTGCTTTCCATCATTTACCAGCAGTCCTGGCTGACTGGGGAGGTCCCAACAGATTGGAAATGGGCCAGTGTGACACCCATCTATAAGAAGGTTCAGAAGGATGATCCGGGACATTACAGGCCTGACAGCTTGACTTCAGTGCCCGGGAAGCTGGTGGAGCAGCTCATCCTGAGTACCGTCATACAACACATGTGGGACAATCAGATGCTCAGGCTCAGTCAGCATGGGTTTATGAAAGGCAGGTCCTGCCTGACAAACCTGATCTCCTTCTATAAAGGGTGACCTGCTTATTGGATGAGGGAAAGGCTGTGGATGTTGTCTACCTTGACTTCAGTAAGGCCTTTGACATCATTTCCCACAGCATTCTCCTGGTGAAACTGACTGCTCATGGCTTGGATGGGCACACACTTTGCTGGGTAAAAAACTGTCTGGATGGCCGGGCCCAGAGAGTTGTGGTGAATGGGGTTAAATCCAGTTGGCAGCCGGTCACGAGTGGTGTCCCCCAGGGTTCAGTGTTGAGGCCACTTCTGTTTAACATCTTTATGGATGATCTAGATAAGGGGATCGAGTGCACCCTCAGTCAGTTTGCAGATGACACCCAGTTGGGTGGGAGTGTTGATCTGCTCGAGGGTAGGGAGGCTCTGCAGAGAGACCTGGACAGGCTGGAGCCATGGGCTGAGGCCAACTGGAGGAGTTTCAATAAGGCCAAATGCCGGGGGCTGCCCTTGGGCCACAACCCCCATCAGCGCTACAGGCTTGGGGAGGAGTGGCTGGAGAGCTGCCAGTCAGAGAGGGACCTGGGGGTGTTGATTGACAGCCGGCTAAACAGGAGCCAGCAGTGTGCCCAGGTGGCCAAGAAGGCCAATGGCATCCTGGCTTGTGTCAGCAATAGCGTGGCCAGCAGGGACAGGGAAGGGATCTGAGCCCTGTACTGGGCACTGGTGAGGCCGCACCTCGATTCCTGTGTTCAGTTTTGGGCCCCTCACTACAAAAAGGACATTGAATTACTTGAGTGTGTCCAGAGAAGGGCAATGAAGCTGGTGCAGGGTCTGGAGCACAGGTCACATGGGGAGCGGAGTGGCTGAGGGAACTGGGGGGGGTTAGTCTGGAGAAGAGGAGGCTGAGGGGAGACCTCATTGAGCCCTACAGCTCCCTGAAAGGAGGGTGCAGAGAGCTGGGGATGAGTCTCCTGAACCAAGTAACAAGTGATAGGACAAGAGGGAATGGCCTCAAGCTGCACCAGGGAAGGTTTAGACTAGATATTAGGACGCATTTATTTGCAGAAGGGGTTGTTGGGTGTTGGAATGGGCTGCCCAGGGAGGTGGTGGAGTTCCCATCCCTGGAGGGATTGAAGAGTCGGGTTGACCCAGCGCTGAGGGATCTGGTGGAGTTGAGAACTGTCAATGTTAGGTTAATGGTTGGACTGGATGATCTTCAAGGTCTTTTCCAACCTAGACGATTCTGTGAGTTACTGCACTAAAAGATAAAACACAGCCAAAAAAGAAATAGTACTCAAGGAACAAGTGCTTGCAAGGCTCCTTGAAACATACAGAAGTATACTAGCTCACTAGTAAAACAGACACAACCTTCATGAAAAATGAGAGTGGTTTAGGCTCCATGTTTAAGGAGATACACTAAAAGAGTAACTTTTAAAAAATAATATATGTGTGTAGTTTTACACACAGTTTCACAGGTGTTATGTATATACATACACATATACTTGTGCATGTAACAGATCATGTCCATTAAATACTAAGACCCAAAGTGGCATAAGAGTCATAGGAAAGAAGGGATGAGAAGTGCTGCAAGGAACAAAACCACAAAAATCACTTGTATCTTGCACTTCAGAAACTGAGACTTGCATGGATTAGAAGGGAATTTTGGCTCACTGTGTCAAATTATGCTTCTGTTCCAGCTGAAGAAAAGCTTCAATGATTTTAATTTAAAGAATAACCTTTGCTATGAATAGCCAAATGCAACCGGATGTTGTATAGCAACTTCGTTATTTCCTTGATGAACTAATACTATTGAACAAATCAGTGCTAACTTTTAAATTATGTCATCTCAATTTCACCTTCTCAGTATCATTTGGACCACTTCACACTTGGAACATATGGAGAAGCATCTTAATAGCAAAACAAAATGCTCTTTCAGGTTTAGGCCTTGTAAAAGCAAACATGAGCAGCTTCATCATTAAACTTTTAAGACAGGGAACTCTCCCCAAGCAGTGTTTCACCAAGCAGTAAGAAACAACAGGGATTCTTTAAGCAGTCTTCTAAAATAATTGATTTTTGCATTCAAACATTCCAGTATAACTGCGTGGCACTAGGTATTGACCCTTGATTTTGAAAAAAAGCTTTTTAGTTTTTTGATTTTTCGTAACATCTATCACTACTCCACCATCAATGCAGCTTTGGAAGCACATGTTGGCAGAATACACCAAAGATTTAAAATACATTGTTTTCATGGTCACTTAGCTTCTGCTCATATCAAAGTTCTCCTTCTATAAAACTTTACTGTTGTTGTTTTTTTTTTCCCCTCCATAATTTAGCTAGGACCAGATACTGAACCCCAGTCTGGACACATGCAACAGGTGCTCAATACAGACTGTTTAAAAACAGAAAGGAACACCAGTACATAGCATACACAATATTTGTTCATTGGCTTATATGCTTCCTTCAGCATTGCTTTTCTTTCCTCCCCATCCTCCTTGAGACCCTTGTGAAAGAAAGCTAACCTGTTGCAAGCTCCCTACATAGGAAACTAACTGACCAGACTTCCTAAAAATGAGGAGGTTCCTGAAAGGAGAGTCTTGTGCATGTACTGTGTTTTCAACAGTAAAGTGCTGAAGCACAATAGCAACCAGTAAAATCTGTTCACAATACAGGTCTTAAAACACCCATTGCAGGATAAGCATCCCTTTAAGACAGCTACAAATATATTTCACTCCATTATGCTTAAACATACCCTTTTAAAAGCCATTCATTTATAGGTGTGATTGATAATAGCTGAAGAAAGAGCCATATTGCTGTTGGGAAGAACACAAGTGTAAAAATCTGGACAAAAAGGTGTAGTTTCACATGCATCAAAGCACTTGTCAGCTCCTGCAAAAGAAAAAGAAGAGAGGAAGTTGCAGTCATAACAGCTGAAGTAAGATCATATTTGTGCTTTTAAAACTAGGATCATCTTTATAATACAAAGAGAGCGCATGTCAAAAAGGCACCTTTAGGGATCATCTGATCTCCTCTTTAATAATGAAGTACATCCAGACAGCATAAAAGCTCTGTCTGCTCCTGGGCATTTTTCCAGAAGAATTGTCCACCACTTCAATAATAGTGTAGCTCTCATAACAGTAGCCTTTCAGCAGACAGCCCCAGCACTTTGTCACTGCTTCAAACCCTGTGTTAACTATGCTGACAGCCTGTTTACTTTATTGACTGCTAATATCAAGAGGAAGGGAAATTTGTAGTGTTCATGTGATTTCAGGTTTCTCTAAAGAGAGCCACAAACCGTGATCCTCATTTATACTGTGAAAAAGGGATGTTTACATTACAGTCATCACTTATGGTGGGCGGTTTTAAGGAAATACTAGCAAATATAAAAAACAATCTGTATCAGATTTTGATTATTTATGGTATCAACAGACAGGAAATTCACATTAAAAAAATTAGGCTGATGAAGAATACCCTAACCATAAGAAGTTAACAACAGCTAAGACATAAAATTCAGAGAAATAAATTGCAAAACACTGCTGGAGACTGAGGGGGAAAAAAAAAAATCATTTTAGATAGTGTAAGAGCACTCCAGAGAGGTGATCAAGTATCCTTACACAATAAACCCTTCAGTTAGGTCTGTGTCTCTCCGTTTCTGTCTTCTCAGGCACTCCAAGGATCTTCTACACAGTTTTCGAGTACAAGGAAAAAGCTGTGTACATTTCAGCTCATTACAACTCTCATAGAATGAGAAGAAAAATTCATTTTCCTCCCTCTCAAGATAGCTTGCACTCTTTTCAAGTAAACAATACCACAAGAAAAGAACTGACGGCACTTTTATTCAAAACCTAGTTTGCTAGGAGTCTCCAGCTATCTAACACCCCAGATGTATTAAAAAAACCCCAACAACCCAACATGAGAAAGTGCATTTCCATGTACAGTAATGTAGCAGCCAATCATCAGATGCCATGCTCTCTCTGCTTCAAAACAGCTGAACTTTTATGAAACACAATCAAATACTGCATTTTCAACCATCCGATCACACACTGATGTGATTATACATCTGGAAGTACTAGCAATTCAGTGCCGTTCCTTGTTACTTTTTTTCTCTTAATAAAACTACCTCTCAAATTAGTGTTAGGTGGAAAAACCTTCCACAAAAAAAAAAAAAAACAACCAAAACCCCAAAAAACCCACACAAAACAAAACACCACATCAGTTCCTATCTTATTGTTAAAGTAATACAAAACATGGACTTGAAATGTACATTCTGATCCTGTTTTACCATGAAGTATCATTACATTCAGTTAACTGACTGAAATTTTTTTTTTTTTAAATAAGGCAAGTTCTTAAGCAGGCTAGTATCACTCTGCATGAAAAAAACAGGCCTTCTTCACACATAACCTGTCACAGTACCTATGGCATTATGAACAGCTTCACTGTAGTACTATTTCATCTTGCCTCAAAAAGAAAGCAAAAATAAAATGTCCAGTAGTAGAAATGCATCCTGTGCAGGAGGGAAAGATACCTGGAAATACTGACATAAAAGTGTACATTTTAAAATTAAGTAATACAGTTAAGAAAATCCAAAGCAAGTGATTTCTTTCAGTAAAGCTGCTAATTCCTTCTTTCCTGACCAGTTATCTCCAGTCCTGGACTTCCTAGTGAACCAATCTATGAAGGTACCCCCAATCTAGGCACCATCACACATACAGAAGTGCCCTTTCAATTTAATATTTTTACAATTGGAAAATTGTCTTAAAAACAGGTGGTTTGAAATAAAAATGTGTGATACTTCCAAAAACAAAATCCAAGACAAAAACTTGGGAAAGACTGGTTAGAGCTTCCAGGGAGCAAGGCAGGCGATTACAACAGAGCCAACCTAGTTCGTGAAGAAATGCTGCATCACTGGAACAGGTCTTTCCAGATCTGAATCACATCTTTAAAATGTCTCTAGTGACTGCCTTTTAGAACAGTTATTCCTTAGACTGTATCCTCACAGAACAAACACTCAGGCAAACAGCTTTCACCTTCTTAGAATCTACAAGGGCTTGTCCCAAAATACATTCATCACTAGTCCTAAAAAAAGCCGAAGTCTCAGAAAAGTTACTAGAAGCTGCTCGTTATGACTGTTTCTGCACATCAGGTAGAACAGGTTACCTTGTCTTTCCCAGTATTTCAGACCCTTTAGAGAGCTTATCCTCTCACTGGTCACTGTGGGTCCCTGTTGCCGTCTGGCCACACTTAGGTGGTACAGACACCCACACAGAGCAAACAGTGTTTTCAGTAGCTTGCCAAATTCCTCACTGAAATGGATAACTCGGGTAATGTGATTTAATTTCTGGGGCCCTATAGGAGGTATTTCCTTTAAAAGAGCAAGCTATCCAGTCACTGAAAACTGAAAGCGCATTATATTAAGGTGGAATCAAATGTTCTTGTTATTCCTGGAAAAAAGATTATTTCTACAAAGGTAAGAGGACCTCAGTCACCTCTACATTTGAAAATGTAACAAGGCCAAGCACAGACAGGCTCTCCATGAACACTGCCCCAGTTACTTTGTGAAATGCTTTCTGCATGCATGCTAGCAAATTTGGGGGGGGCATACACCTTCACAGCAGATAAAACCAGAAATGTAACCCTAAAAGAGCAACAGTTATTTCTAATTTTGTCAGATTTATCAGAAGGCCTCCATTAACACACAACTTTTTATGATTGCATAAAGTGTACCAAACACTAGTTGCAATCCACTATATCATCCAAGGTAGGATAGCTGACACACACATCAAGAACTAATAGAGAAAATTTCCTTTGCAATTTCCTTTGCAATCCAATAAGCAGATATATTAAAAGACTAATAATAACAACTTTAAGTTGTACCTTAAACAATTAAAGCATGCCCCAGAGTATTTTAATACAGTCACGACCTGGCCTCCTGGCACATTTAAGGATTGTTTTTAAAATACATTTTAGAAAGTAACAGCACAAGGTACAATGAGTGAAATGTTCTTCTTCCTTTTTATCTTCTACCCCTATGGGAGAAATTCAGAAAAAGCTTAGCTTCTTCATGGAACATAAAGCTGGATGTACAGCACCAGTCCTAACCGATGCTTCCAAAACAATCCAAGAAACCTGGACATAAACATCAGCTCCTGTAAAAGCTTCATTTACACCAAAATATTGCTTTTAGAACTCACAGCTGAAAAAAAGTTATGCAAGTTCAAAGTAGGACATGATTCGTTGCCCAGGAACCTGTCAGTCACGTCACCTAATTGGAAAAGGTTAGATACACACTAGCATTGAGAATCTAATCAAGACTTTGATAATACTGATTTCACTCTCTCTCACAGCTGCTTTACAAATACAAAGTTTCAAGGATAGAAACTAGTGAAACAAAGTTTTACGTTTTTGTTTTTTTTTCCTCTGCATGAAGATTCCTAACCCTGAAAGCAGAAAACTCCACTCCATCAGCACTACTCATGCTTTGCATTGTGGGTCCTCTTCTCTGTAGAAGGGAAGTGTCTCTTCACAACCTGTTTCCATTAGGATTAATTACTGTCCTGGGCAAACAGGTACCATGGTTCTTCCCACTTCCCCGTAAGACCACAAGGCTCTAGATAGCTGCTACAGAATTTACTAAACCTATTCACTTCACCTACGCTGTGTTCCAGCAGAACTAGAGGCCCGAGTGCCAGAAGCGGCAGCACACACAGGAGGAGATCTTCCATCACTTCAAACACCACCTCCATTTGAAACTTTATCACTGTAACCATGATACAGGTATAGAAACTTTTTTTTTGTTGAATGCATTCTGTTCATCCAAATCCCAATTTGCCCATAAGACAACTGGACAACATCATCATGATTCTTTTAGACATCAGTATCATGCAACATATGAATGACAATCACCTGTTTGCACAGTCAAGAGCATAAAAGGAATCAGGAAACCAGACTAGCAGAGACATGCAGTTTTTCACTTCAACTCTGGCTGCTCCTTCTCTTCTTGGCAAGCAGCCATCATTTCCTTTCTCCATGCCTCCCTTACACATCACTACAAGGTCCTCCCCTTCATCTCTTTCTGCTCCCAGATTGTCCCTCTTTGAAAAATGTGTGACACAATCTGAAACGAGCCTCAGTGACTGTGATATGCAGCAGAGCGTAGGCACTTCAAGTCCACCTGTCCACAACTAAATCCTATAGGAAAAAGTTGCCGAGATTTTGTACCTGTATATTAGCCTTGCATCTACAGAGGAACCCTTTTGTGTTGATACTAGCTGCTCTGCCATGCCTACCAAACGTGGTAACTTAACCAGATCTTTGCTAGCCTAAGCTGTTTTAGTGGGAAAGCATACCAGCAGGTGAGATGAAGGAGAGAGGCACAGAGAGCTCCCACCTTCTCTTTGTGTCCTACAGATACACAGAGACTCCAAATAACCCCTCTCTGCCTCGTTCCCTACAAAGTCTACCCTAGGATTCGCAGAGTTTTCTGGCCTGTATCTCAACTTAGCAGCAGGGAAGCAAAAGTGCAGAAAGGGTGGCAAAAAGCAGGTGCCGAAGTGTCCTAGGCCTCACCCTGATTTGGGTTTGGGACACACCCATGGTACAGATCCAGCCTCAAAATTGTGCTGAGCCCTGCGAAGTCAAGCAAGTCACCCTCTATGGACAGGTGAAATTTATTCACACTCTCCTTCTCATCATGTTCACTACTTCATGAAGAATTTTCTGAAATCAAGGAGGGATTATTGCATAAATGTCTAATATTTATCTTCTCTTGTTAGGCACTCTCCCAGCATCAACTATAGCACAATAATTAAATATTCCAATTACATTCAAACCTGATCAAAACCAACACAAAACTTTTTAAAGTAAAACAGGGGTGAAGCAATGAGAAATTACAGTACCTCAGTTTTTAAGGAGAGTCCACTGTTAAAGAATATAGCTGAAACAGCAATGTAAGTTATGGTAATTTCTGGTTTCAAGGGTCCTAAAAAATACAGACATAAAGAACAAAGTGAACTACAGGCAAAGAGATAAGGATATGCATACATTACATCAAAGTAAATGAGAACACTTAGAAAAATACCTAGAGAAAATCTAATCATTAAAGTCTCTAATAAAAAGAATGGGGTTTCTATTAAGCTACAGAAAGCATGCCATTCATTTTTAAATAAAAGCAAACCAGTGAGTGGAGAGTGAGGTATGTTGTCATACAAATCTGGCTCCCATGATTACAGGCCACTAGGAATGAACAATGAAATTCTGCAAGTGTGAAAACAGGTAATTTTTCACAGTTCTATCATCAGAGTATCCCTAGAGCGTCAGCAGACTCAAACCTTACACTCAAAAATATTAGCTGCTCCCTCCACAGGGTCATCAATACCATTCACGTACCTACCTCTCACTTCTACACACACACACACACACACACACACACCCCCTGTCTGGCTGCCTGCATTGAGGAAACCACATCAGACCTTGAAATGATTTCCTTGGGGCAACTCTACATTATTCCCCCACAACAGGGCTGTGGGAAAATAGTTCGTTCCAGCTCTTCAATAACATATTGCAGACACACTGCTGCAGTGAGATCAGCAAGGGCAGATGCCTGCACCTCCAAGGGTTCCACTATATTAAAGGCTTACATTTGTATATATTTATATACTTTTTTTTCAGGGAGTTTACAATAAAATACTTTTTACACTACTATAAAAATGATGAATTCTCTTAATACACTTTGCCTTCAGAGCAAAGCACCAAGCGCAAAATGTATATACTCATTTTTTCAAAAGCATTCAACCAGTTATTATATTAGAGAGAAAATATCAGCAGTCTACTTAGGACCAATGTAATATCCTAACTCTGCAAGTGACAGTAAGTTGTCATGAGCAAAACTGCAGCAGCAAACAAGTAATCCTTTACTCGACACTCTGGAAGAGAGGATCCTTTCTGCTCTCTGGGATGAATGATACATTGATGGTCATACGCTGGAGCAAGGTCAAAAATCCTTAAACTAGAGGGATTTGATTGTACACTGAGCCTAATGAAATTTGCAACTCAAGTCATTTAAACCCAAATCCTACTCTCAGAGAGGACTCTGTTGATGAGACACTAAAACTGTATTAAATACAAAATATAAACCAAATGACCTATATGAAGCATAAGGTAAAACTAAATCAGGAAATGCAAGTGTTAGTGCAACAACACGCACAGCAAGTTGCAAAATTATGGCATATTAACTGAAAAGCCAGGAAGGAAAAAAAAAAACCAAACCAAAACAAACAGAAAAATTATATAAATATATACAGTTACACAGAAGACTGCATTTTATAGATATAGTATTACATAATTTTTCTAATCTTTTAGCAGATTAGAGCATATATGTACATGCACACAGACACTGGGCAGAGAGGCAGTGGGCTGGTTAGTTTGGCTAAGAGAGGAGCTCTTCCAGTTTTTCTATTTTAGAGTTTTTCACTGGGCTATCTGAACTCCTTTAGACAGGAGAAGTCTCTACCACTAGAGCAACCACACGTCCATGGAGCGCAGGGATCTCTGGTCAGAACAGATCCCCTTCATCTCTTGTGTAAAAGACTGGTCAGGAAGGAACTAAATAGGCTCATTCATCAACCAGGAAAACACAGAAAAAGGGCTTGGCTTATGCCCTGAAGGTGGCAACAGCACAAATCTTTGTTATTTGTGGCACAGCATTCCACTAGCATGGATGCTGGACCATCCATACCATTCAGTAAGGCCCTGCAAATTACAGTGCATGGTTCTGCCAGCTGGAAGATGACAATTTTTCATATGCTGGTATTTCCCACACCCAACCTTTTTTTTTTTTTTTCTCTTTAAAATGAGCACTGAGATCATGTAGCTTCAGGAGAGGGACACCACTTCAGAGAACATGTGCTCACGAGTTTCAACCAATGCTTCCAAGATTTTTCAAGGAAGCTGTCCCAGGAACACTACCACGACAAAGCTTGATATCTCTTTGCAGTAGGATAATTAAATCAAGTGCTCCATCACAGCGCCTCCATGCAGGATGTAAGCTGAAGAAAAATTATCTTGTATTCCAGTTAAAAGAATCTCCCGCGTTGCTGCTAATGATTAGCATGACAATCAAACCAGAAAGGGACAAACCACCTGATATTATCAATTTAAAGTTGTCTGCTGAAGACACAGCATGGATCCTGCAAGAAGCTCCATGTGGGTCCAATTCACCTATGCAAAACAGCACACAGATGTTAGAAGGGATCCTTGCACAGCAGGAATTTGCCTACCCTAAACTCCATGAAGAACCAGAGCCTTAGTTGCCACAGCAAGTGTTCAGAGTCATATTTTTTAAAATCTCTTTTTTCCCCAGAACCTAAGGGAACGTCTGCGTGACGCC